CTGATCTGCAATGCAATAACGTATTTCCCGGCTGTTTCGATCACCCGGTTGCTCCGATCACTAGAATACCCACACAAAATGCGTTTTTTGTACGCTCATACCACAATGTCTATATTATATCCTGGCCTTTAATTTTAAAATCATATTATATATAGGTATAACTACTTGTAAGAGAAATATAAGGTTAATATTATATATATTGCTTTTTAGATACCTATTTTTTAATTTTACATAAAAATTACACTGTATTTTATATTATTCCAGTAAATAATAGAGTAAACTTATTATTATTAATCAAGTTTAATGTCCATACCGAGCCTTTCGGCTATGACAGACCCCGAATCATGGGCCACAGCCCCTATCCAGTCTCTGAACTCATCTTTGACCATTCTAGACATTTTCCTCGCCCCAAACCACCTTACTGTGCAGGGCCTTTGGGCATTAAGTATGCCCTCCTTGGTGTTATCACCGTATGGGTGTTACCTGCCTGCTACAGGCCACCCCCCCTGTTATCCCTCCCCTTCTCGTTCTGCCTCTTCCAGGACCTCCAGCCCCCATTCATCATCCTTATGGGCCCTATTTACTGCCCGTGCCTGGTCCCACCGTGGGCAACCTATGGCAGTGTCTGCTAGGAACTGTAGCAGGGCTCATGAGGCTTTAGGGTTCCCAAACAGCCTTCCTTCTGGATACTTCCCGAACGAAGACATCCATAGGGCCAGAGACGTCGACCCGGACACGTTCATGTCCCTAGATGAATTCTCCCGCTTTCGCGAATTTGTCAGCGAGGATCTGCACAGCCTCTACCTGTCGCTTATGAGCACGCCGCCGCCAGAGGACATTCATCTAACGCGGGAGGTGCGGCACGCCCTGGACCAGCTCAAATTGACGACAGGCAAGATCGGCACCGCAAAGAAGATGATGACTAGCACGACGAAGTGGGTTTTGCAGATGTACGCGGGGGAAATGTTCGAGCGATGCGGCGGGCTGAGTCTCGTCGAGAAGAGGTACTTGCCCACGGGGGTGTTGGCCATGATGCGCGGGAAGAAGGTTACGTGGCAGATGGTTCTGTAAATCCTAATGCATGTACATACATATGTCCAGTATAGATATATCTGTATGGTGATACATTATAGTTGCGTTGAAATATGAAATCCAGGGATTCAAGAAAGAAAGAAAGAAAGAAAGAAGTTGGACTAGAAGTGGTGTCTATATAAGGCAGCAAAATTAATATTTTATTTATGTGCAAACGCTAATTTTACCTTTTGGCTACAATAATATAGAGCTTTTAATTTTGGCCAGGAAATAGTTACGTTAGTAACTTAGTCAGCCTAACCGCGTGACAAGGGGCGTAGTTAGTCAAGAAGTCAAGAAGACACCTTTTGCAAAGTTCTGCATCAATTCTCGCCCTGTGATCGACTCGGAAAGCGCGCTACAGTCTATCCCTAGTCTTGTTGTCCCGTGAAGGTTTGCATGACATGGCGAGTTTCGAAGATTACTATTGCAGCACTTTGGATAGCATATTCCCTCCCGTGATACAAAGTTGGGTGCTCTGTTTCCCGTGCGATACAAGCAAAAAACATATCATTTCCAACATTCTGCAGACCGGTTTTGCGCAAACCATCCACCAAAAACCATACCTCGCTGGTCGACTGAGCAGAGAAGATACCGGTCCAAGAGCTGGCAGACTCAAGCTTACTTACTATTACCCAAATGAAAACAAGCCCGTCGTGGACACGCAGCTTTTTTGGGTAAACGACCTGACAGAAAGACAGGACGTTTGGCATCTTTCATATGAAGAGCTGCGCAGACAAGAGATGCCCGTCGTCCAGCTTAAGCCTGAGATACTCGAACCTCCCCTTGGGTACGAAAAGTTGGCGTCATTGCTGATCGCCGCCCAGGTCAATTTCATTCCTGGTGGATGTCTACTCAGCATCTGTCTCAATCATGCGTTCTTCGACGGCGCTGGTGGGGCCATGGTCGTGGGCGCCTGGGCCCAGAATTGCAAAGAGCTCCAGCAGCAGCATACAGAATTGACCGCAGTTTCAGAAGCTGAACAATGGGAGAAGATGCCTCTGGTTCATTGGAACCAGTGCGAAAACGCGACAGCCTTCCTATCGCTTCGCCTCCCTGATATACTGCAGGACAGCACAGCTCCTGAAGATGGAGAAGCAAAGAGGATTCTGCAGGATCGCTCGCTGTGGCAGCTTCTTGGGCTTCAAAAGCCTCCCACAGACCCTCCTACCGCGTCACGGGGCTTACCACCTTCGAGTAGTAAGATTATGGTCTCTGCGATCTTCACTGCTTCCGAAAGATCGATCGCCCGTCTCAAGGCAGCCTCGAGCCCATACGATGGCGATGAAGGAGCTGCGCCTTATGTATCTTCCTTTGATGCCACAGCTGCATTGCTCTGGAGGTGCATCATGAGGGCGAGGCTCTCGGACATTAGGGAATCGGACAAGACACGTTGTTCACGTCTTCGCATCCCGGTGAATCTGCGACAGACGCTGGAAATTTCCCATGACTACCCTGGAAATGTGCTCCTAAACAGTGTCACCGAGATGCCGATCGAATCTCTCGTTGCAGAAGCTAATGGACGCCGGGTCGCACCCAAGATTCGCTCGTCGCTGCTCTTTAGCAGAGACGCTGGACGCGCGCTGGACGCTATCAAGCTCTCCTTCGTTCTTCCTGAGTTCGGATCCCGTCGTCCGCTCTTTTCGGACACGACACGACAGGACCTGGTTCTGACTTCGTGGCAAGACTTGCCGTATTACAAGCATGATTGGGGTCCCATGTTTGGATCTCCCGGCACGGCAGAGTTCTTCCGGATCCCTCACGGCTACCTCAGAGGCATATGCGCGTTGCAGCCCAGACGGATCGATAATAATGCGGTCGAGGTTCTGGTCAATTTGGAGAAGGGCCAGATGGACAAGCTGATCAACGATGGTGAGTTCACAAGGTACTTTGAACTCAAGGCTCTATAGATAGGAGGAAGTCGCATGTCGCCTTGCATGAGCTAGCTAGCATGTATCTGTCTCATTCCTAATGAATGTTTCTCTCTCTTTTTCTTTTGTTTTCCCAATAAATTGAGCACAAGCACATGACATTAAGTCCAACATTCCTGAGAAGGCAAGTTGAGCCGTAATTAATTAATGGCACAATCCATCTATGGATAACGTATCCCAGGGGTCATTCGCGCACCCGCATCAAAACGCGTGTCTAACCTTAAAAAAAAAAAAAACAGTAATTATATGCAGTACAAGACAAAAAAAATTATTTTCTGATAAAACTAGAATATGACTGATTGTATGGCAGTTGTAGCACTTCAGTAACGCGCATATGAATGAATGGTTATGTAAGATGTTGGCATAATATCTCAGACTGTACTGAGGACAGAGAAGCGATGCAGCATGACATGAGTTGTTCGTTTCCAGTCATCATCACATCTATCGATATGCGGTTAGCTACGTGTATGTAAATAAAATCAATCGGATGATCCATCAGGGGAAAAAAGAAAGATCGATAATTAAATTAAGCCCACACATTGGGTTAAAAAACTATGTTGAAAGAGGGAACATTATGCGAGTATCAATTAGTTCCCAGGTTAAAAAAAAAAGGGTCGACCAACTTGGTAAAAAAGAATTGTTTATGGTGATTCCAAACTTCCAAGACAGATTATTCAACTGGGTAAGTGAAACGAGACACGGGTGAATTGAGTTTACTTTTTTCTTTTTCGACCGCATTCTCAGTACTAGTGGCATTGTCGCATTGTGAAACCAGAGATATAGAGAATTATATAAACTAGCGCTATTCACCATGCGCATACTGTATTTGGAGGAATTGTCTGAGGTGGAAGCAGGAAACAGCGACTCTTTCTAGTGATATCGGAATATAATTTAGGACTAAATATAAAGAGTGATAAAAAAACCAAAATAACCAGCAAAGATTGAACACTTGGATGCTCCAGAAAATGAGCTCGTGGAAATAATTCGCAAAGGTCTGTCGACTATTTCGTCATTCTAGAGTGAATATCTCGTACAACATAGATTTGTCCATAGAGGTCGGTGACATTGATGAAGACCTGAACGGCTTTCCAAGTCTGCGGGTCAACCTCCGGCTTCAATTTCTGCACCGCAAGATCGAGACACTCCCGCTCGTAACTGGCGATTTGGAGCAGGGTTTGCCGAATCTCATCTGCCAGTTTTGTCGATTCGGAAGAAGAATCAGTCTGTAGCCCATTGGGGTAGCCATTCTTGCTCCCGTCTTCTTCCTGCTCATGAAATTCAGGAAAGTTGGCACTGTTGAGATTGTTTTCTGCGCGGTCGCGCGCGATGGACCCGTAATCGTTATACTGTCGACACATAGTGGCCAGATGGCGGCAGACATCTTGGGCGAGATATCGCGAAAGGGCACCGGAGAAACAATCTCCTCCAGATGGAGCAATCAAACAGCGAAAGAATTCGAAGGAATAAGGGCAGCTCGTGTGATCCGCAGATGTAGTGCGCACCCAGTCGTAGTAGGTACCCCTGGCGCTGGTGAAGACCGCTAACTTCTCTGGCGAGGCCGGCTTACGCAGTCTGGTGTTATCCTCGCCGTGGGTGACATGGGCCTGAAGAAAAATCGACAGTTCCTGTCTGATGCGGCGGTGTACGACCTCGGAAGAGCCAGAAACCTTGGGGTGATTCAACACATACGAGATAAAGCGATAGAGAGTCTGCTCCACTTCGAGGAGGAACTTGGATTGGTGTGTCTCGCTCTGAGCGATAGTGTGGCTCGGGTGGCCATTCTCCATATCTTGACCATGACTATCAAAAAGTCGGCGGATAACGGCCCTAAGAGCTCCGAAATTTCCCTTCAAATCCGGGTGCTCTGTGGCTTGCTCGAGATATTCGTCGGCTTGAAAGTTGAGCATTGAGAGTACCATCATATCACACATGGTCTGCGTTGATATGCCAAAGTCCGTTGCATTGTTGCACAGCGTCCATGTAAAAGGAATGTACTCCCGGTACTTGTCACCGCTCCTGTCCTTTCTCGGAAAGATATCAGGCTGGGTCTGATGGAGTAAAGGTGCGAACAGATATCCTTCCACGATAGAAGCTCGCAGCTTCCATTTTGGCTGCTGCGAAAAGATTGGCAGTTTTGAAAAGAATTGGGAAAACTTGTCAACTGCTTTTGTATCGATCTTCCACAGATTTAAGACATTCTCGCCCCAGTTGTAGGCACTGGAAGCTTGCAGCGCTGCCAGACAATATGTCTCTGAGAGGATCCCAGATCCGTAGCTGACCTTCTCCACCCAGATGAATCCCGGCCTATTCCATTTTGTTTCGTTGGCTTCAAGGAATCTAGTTCCACGGAGGATACTATCATTTACTGTTGCTTCAAGGGTCTTCGTCCAAGGTAGCGAAGCAAGTTTTTTCAAGGTCAACAGTGCATAGGCTGTAATCTCCGGCGAGCCTTTCCACGAGCCTTGCTCGGATTGCGCACTGAGGGTTCGCACAAGAATCTGGAAGGTCACCAGCGGAATGCGGTGTGCAATCAGATCCGGTGGAAGATCAGCTAAGGCTCCAGTATCCCATAGTTTTACGACCTGTGTCAGGCTCCCTGCCAGGAGCAACATCGAATATTGACGTTCCAAATTCTGTCGCGCAGTCAGTAGATACATACAGGTGCCCGCATGGCGCTCTTACCCATTTATCGTTCAACTCTCCGTGGTACCATGTCTGGCAGAGAAAATCGAGCGCTTTTGAAAGCTGAGAGAGATGGTTCGAGGGGTTTTTAGACTGAAGAATGGCTGTAAGAACATTGCAATTGGCACTGAACGACTCTGTTGTCTCGAAATCGTATGTTTTGAAGTGAGTCTGAGCCTCGAATGACTCGATCATCTTTTCACACCCTGTGGGCCGGCCTAAGAGATTGAGCGACAAGATAGCTTTTGCGGTATCATCTGCGTCTGGAAGAATTCCAGGGGCTTCCAGAGGATCAGCAGAACACTTCTGAATATTCCACTCGGAGGAAGTTAACGCACCAAAACCAGTGATTCCTGCATTGTTCCGTAATTGGGTCTCCAGGAAGTCTGCAATTGTGGCAACATTATTCTTTCCAAGGAGATCAACGGTGAAGCCGGACTCGAGCAGCGTCGAGAGAACCTGTTACCAAACAAATCAGAAACCCTAGTTTCCAGTCAACGAGTGTATTGCAATTACCCATGCGATCTCAAACACGCTAACAGGGAATGCGCTTGGGACACAACCCTTCCCAGCCTCGACGACAAAGCGCAGGTAAGCCTCCGCGTCAGGATTCCAGCTCGAACTGTTCATCAGATATGCCGCGGTGGACGAAGGCGAACCCATCATGGCTCCGGAGTGGAGGTGGTGAGCGACCTTATCAAAGTCAATCTTTCCAATAAAAGCCTCCAGCGAGTGTAATAATGTCGTCTTATGGGGTGTATAAAGAATGGCTGGGGAAAACTTGGCGAGTTTTTGTTGATTCATTGCCATCAGGACCTTGAAACCCGGGAACTGAAAATCTAATCCTTCTGCGAGCAGCATGTCCAACAGATTGGGAACAAGGATCTCAAACCCAACATGTACCGTCGACCGTACATCCCAGCGCTGCAATTTCTGTTCCAAGAAGCGGCGCCCTCGAGCAATTCTGCTTGCCAAGTCAGGCACTGATGGGCACCCGGTCACCGATGGGTTCTTTTCATGCTTGCAGAGGGCTAATAGGGCTGCCATTGTGTTCAAGATTTCATCTACCTCTGCGCTCTGCGCGCCAAATCCTCCTTCCGGAGACTGGCTCTCTAGAATTGATTGAAAGCATTCTGGGAACAGCCAGCGTGTTTCTCCGTCATGCTTCGTACTGGTCGACACCATAGCCAGCCAGGCGGTATCATAGACAGTTGGGGTCATGGAGCTGGATCCATGATATGGCGTGTCCAACGATGTCACCAGATACTCGACGATTTGCCGAGCTCTGTCATTCACAGTAGACAGCATCCTGTCAACCGAAGTCAAAACGAGTATCAATTAGAAACTTGCAGTGACAGGTAGGGATGGCAAACAATGGAGATCGCAAAGGCATAAACAATGTGGTCAGTATGATATACAGATGTAGATGTTACTGACCAACAAAACCACAGAGCAACGTAGAAATGCCGCACAGCATGAGACAACCCCGCAGGGACAAGGAAATAAGACCGATGCGTGTCGGGGCACTTTCGTCTCCGGGAAAGGATAAAGACGAATACGGCAGTCGTCTAGTGAAGCGTCTAGGAGGAAATTGGCAAGACTGACAAGAGGATGACGGAATTCCTAGGGAAAAGGGGCGTTCCTTATCCATCATGTATCCACTCTTACTCGCGTTCAATAACGAACAATTCCTTACTTCCTCCGTTGTCTACTTCGTCGAACTCCTCTTGGTACTTGGATAGCTTGAGTGGGCGTGCCACTGACTCAGTTGTTCTTATCTCTAGTGAGTCTATACCGTGGGAAACCCTTAGAAAGCCTCATCGACAGGTTGATCTACGGGGAACAGTCCCGGGAAGTGTGATCACTTCATCACAATAATCCTTCGAAACGACCAACGCAGGAGGCAATGCACAACTATTGCCAATAGATTCGATCATTAGAGATCCTAAAGCTGCTATTACTGATTTTGCCAAGGTCTGTAGGGACCTCATCGGCCCCGAAATCATCATCTGTCAGTGGGCATACACAGATATACTCCGCATGTACACACATGTGCCCAAAATTTGGTATCGGACAGGGGTATGGAAAGAGAATTTTGGGGAAGACGTTGATATCCGCTGCAGCCGCACGAAGCTGATAACGAAACTGAGAATGTTATTCAGCTAGTCAGTTTTTACTAATCGAAAAAAAAAAGCAAACACGATATACCGACGTGCCTCCACATGTAGAATTGAGAATAATGCTTCAATACCCCCGCATACTGTTAGCCCGTTTCGTTGTATCAAGCTAATAATTAGGCGGTTTACAGGATCAATATCCATGAATGTGCATACATACGGGCGCTTAATTTCTCGGTTACCCCCCTGTCGCCCTAAAATTTTCGCCCCCAAACAAACGTCTTGCCTTTTTGGAATAATCCAGTGATTTTTACGGTAATGCATTGTTTTGGCTTGATTCTCAAATCACATACGGCGACATACACGCCAGCTACTGGGCTAGGTCGAAAGTTTCCACCTCACCCGTTCAAAGCAACTACCGGGGTCGCTGGAGGTGGGGGAAACCTGATTGCACAACGATCTGCGACTGGGACAACGATCCTCGCAGCTGGACCTTTGCAGGCAAAGGGAATTGGCCAAACGCCACGGGGACTAACCAGCAGCCGTTATGATCATTACGGACTGGACGGCAGTGGCTTTTGGCACAAGAGGCCGATACTCTGTCAGGATGAGCAGGGAAATATTTACTGTGAAGATTGACAGGATGAGGATTTTTTTTTTCCCCCATTCTGCCAATTTTCTCACGAATGCTGACGGATGGTCGTCTGTTTGATTCAACATGGATACCCTGAACTATACCACAACTCCTTTAGAAGCACCGGTCATTGTGCCTACCACTGTACATTCTCACCCCGCCTTCAAGATCTTCGCAGTTTTAGTGATTGCCTCTTTGATTCGGTGCCTGGCATTCGGTGCAGAGGGAAACGCCCAAGTCCACGCTCCCATCGTGGGTCCGAAGGACTCGATCCGGGCAAGATGGCAGTTTTTTCGAAATGCATCAAGACTTGTGAATGAGGGGTATGACAAGGTAGGAACTTCACTCGGTTGCTTGGTACAAATATTAACGATGGGTAGTACAAGAATAGGATCTTCAAATTGTCGGGACACGACATCCTGGTCATCCCAAATAAATATGTAGCCGAGCTGAAGAACATGCCTGATGAGCAGCTGAGCTCAATTCAGGCAAACATCGACGTATGGGATCGAAGGTATCCGGAGTCATGGCCTACTGCTGACGGCTGCAGAACTTCGAAGGCCTCTACTCCACCACCTCCATCCTCCTGGAAGGGAACTTGCATACTCGTACGATTCAAGCCCGGTTAACGCCTAGACTTCGTCACCATGTTCCGGTGGTTCAAGAGGTATTGGGAAGAGCTTTTCCGAAGGAGCTTCCGGCGACCAAAGGTTAGTCAGTTTTATTCAACATCTACTTGTTCTCTTCTGACCGTGGAGTGGTAGATGGCTATACCAGCGTTAAGGCTTTCCATCTAGTCCTCCGTCTCGTCTCGTTCATTGCAGCCCGACACTTTGTCGGCCCGTCGCTGTGTGAAGATGAGGAATGGCTGTCGACCGCTCTCACCTATACCGAGAATGCATTCAAAACGATCATTATTCTGCGAATCTTCCCCGACTGGGCCAAGCCCGTCGTTTCTCTTCTTATTCCCTTTTCATACAAGGTCACCTGGGCTTTGAAGAAGGCTCAACGCATTATTGTTCCTCTGATTCTAAAGCGACGCGAGGCGGAGAAGAACAATCCCAACTACGAGAAGCCAGAAGATTTCCTGCAGTACATGATGGACGGCGCCAACGAGTTCGATGGACGGCCTGATAAGCTCGCTCATCGTCTGCTGATTTTAACTCTTGCAGCTGTTCACACTACGTCTATGGCTGCGACACAGACGTTGTTTGACTTGTGCGCTCATCCGGAGTACATCGAGCCACTGAGACAGGAGGTGATAGAGGTGCTGGAGAGAGAGGGTGGCTACAAAAAACAAACCTTAACGCATTTCCAGAAATTGGACAGCTTTATGCGAGAGTCGCAGCGACTGAATCCGCCTAGTTTACGTATGATTTCCACCTGGCAATGAAAGAAAGAGGCCCAAGCTAAAACTGCTTCCTTAGTTGGATTCAAACGCGCCGTCCGCCAACCCTTGACGCTGTCGGATGGTGTCTATCTGCCAAAGGGGGTGCATCTGATGATGCCCGTCTACCCGATTGTCGTCGACCCTGAAGTCACTCCAGATCCTTATACATTCGACGGATTCCGACATTTGCGCAATCGCGAGCGACCGGGAGAGAGCACCCGACACCAGTTTGCAACGACGAGCGACAATAACCTGCATTTCGGACACGGCAAGTATTCATGTCCGGGACGGTTTCTAGCCGGAAACTCAATCAAGATGATTCTCTCGAATATATTACTACGGTATGACTTTAGGTTTCCCGGAGGTTCGACGGAGAGACCACGTAACGTGCATTTGCATGAATACGTGTTTCCGGATCCGGAGGCCCAAATCGAGTTTAAACTAAGAGAGGAGAAATCTCAGTGGATTCTTTGATTAGAACATTTCGTATTAGAATAGATTAGGAATATCTCTCTTCTTAAACTCCCCCGATCATGCATATTCGCGAGTTTCAAGCATATAAAATCTATATAACCTAGTTAATATAACCCAGTTATCCGGTCATATTGCATACAATCATCCTGCGATCAATACCGCTTAGGACCCCTAGGTATGTGACTGACCAAGCAGATAAATATTAATCCTCGGCCTTCGCAAATTGCTTAAACTGGAAACATTACCCGACTAGAAAACAGAGCAATTGGAAAGATAATCATATAGAAAGCGCCCCGGTACGCCAGTATAGGTATCTATGCAACTGCATCAAAAGTATTTTGAGGCTTGCTCCGCCCTTGCCCATGCGCTTTTTCTATTTAGCTAACAAGAATAAGAGCAACTGCGGATTCATTGTCTCAGCTGAGCAGGCCTCCTCTGGAGTGATCTACAGATTATTATTATTATTATTATAATCAAGTTTAACGTCCATAGCGAGCCTTTCGGCTATGACAGACCCCGATTCTTGGGCAGAAGCCCCCATTAGTCCCTAATCCCGTCTTTGACCATTCTGAACCTTTTCCTCGCCCCAGGCCACCAGCCCCCATTCATCATCCTTCCGAATTCTCTCGGCTGCCCGAGCTGCTTCCCCTAAGGGGCATCCAACCGTCGTGTCTGCTAGGAACTGCAGGATGGCCTTGGGGGGCCGTAGGATCTCCTAGTAGCCTTCCCTCTGGGTGACCCTCAGCCGTTGTTGGCAAAGCCACCCTAGCCTTGGTTAGGGAGTGATCTACAGATGCAACTTGTCTTAGATACGCATACGGATGTACTGTTCTGTACATACATCATACTTAGCAGGATTGCGATTACTGTGTTACATGGCACGTCGTCCATCATTAATAATTAATTGAACCAACTGAACCAACTTTACCAACGCTGATGCTATTGGATCACATCCTGCCAAATATCATACGGAGTATTAGAGACTATCAGCCAACAAAGTAGTATGTACATACATGTAGGCTATATTAGCACCTCATAATTACTGCAACCCACCCCTGTTTTTTTTTTCGGCAAAACTGACTTCTGCCTCCCGCCTCCCTAGTAAAATCTAGTATTTTTGGCAGTAATATTGCTAGTAATTAAACTTGAAGTTTTTTTTTTCCCTAGAAAAGCATATAGAATATAGTATTAACGTTACCTAGTCATGAGACTCTGATTTAAAGCTACTTCTACGGAGTATATAGATGGTCCCTTTTAGGGCTTACGGGGAATCGCCCTATGGTATAGGGTAGTCTTCGAGAAAAATGTATTACTTCTGAAAATTCTACCCCGGTGTAGATTTTGCTAGACAAGACGCGAAGTGGAGAGGGGAGGAGATGGGGGCAATAGTCAGTTCTGCAAGAAGAGGGGTTGGTTGCAGTGCTTAAGCGCCTGCCCCTCGGCTAAACAGATACATACATACATATGTCAATGCTCTATATATAATTTTGCAGCACTAGCGTCACTCTAAATTGTGACAGACGTGCATAGATAGGTACACAGAATTCTAATTCGAGTACTCCAATGAAGAAGCATCGACGTGTGGATCTGTTACGTCGATGGCATGCAGACTCTTCTTGACTTCGAGTCATTAACACATGGGTTTGCAAAATACGACACTGTGGTAACCCATGTGGCTTGGACCTTTTTCTGAACAAGGACAAATGGCGGCATTAAATTTGATGATTGAGAGAGACTTCTAATCCTGTCTGAATAAAAACATTTGTGTCTCCGACGATTTAGTCTCCAAACATGAGACTTGATCAGAGCTCTATATTAAAAAAATCAAGAAAGAAAAATGGGTTTCACGCAGACGTTAATGCAGCTGCTTTTTCGGGAGAATTTCAGCATTGCTATACAGAGCATTCTTGTCGGCCTCATTACCACGTATGTTCTCTCGAGCCTTCTTTCTCACCACTACAACAGGGTTAAGGCACCCAGAGTTGGAAAGAACCCATGGATTTCAGGATTGGTTCGCGCCCGCTCAGACTTTGTCAGGAATGGCAAAGACTTGACGAAAGAAGGTTACATTCGATACAAGGATTCCATGTACTGGATCCAGACTGGGGACATGGAACGTCTGGTGCTTTCCAACCGCTACCTTGATGAGCTGCGAAAACTTCCAGACTCGCACATAGACAGCAAAGCAGCTGTCGTCGAAAGAAACTTGGGCTGGTACAACCGCGTCGACATTATCCTGAAGAGCACGGCGCATGTGGACGTCTGTCGTACCCAGCTTGTTCAGAACCTTGGTAAAAATCCCGGATCCTATGCCATCTTGGAGGTCGTTACTGATATAGCATAGATAAAGTCATTCAGGGACAAATAAGTGATCTTGGGAATATCTTTCGACGGGAGCTGGACGCATGCTTCCAGAATGAAGGTTGTCGTACACTGGAGCTTACTACAAAGCCAATATACATACTGATCTCTCGCCAGACTTCCACTTTTACAACGCCGCTGCAACGATTTTGAACATTGTCAACAGGAGCGCTGCGAAATCTCTTGTCGGCGAGCCGCTTTGTCATGACGACAAATGGCTGCGCACGAGCTTGGAGACAACTGTAAATACGGGCATGCTGTGCAGAAATTTGCAGAAGTGCCCTGCTATTCTAAGGCCTCTGATATGCCCTTTCACAGCGGCGCGCAAGAATTTGGATCGTAGTTTTGACGTCGCGCAAGAGTTACTGTCGGGAGTGATCAAGGATCGACAACGCGGCGACAAAAACGTCGATATTCTGCAATGGCTAATCGACAGCTACAAGGGAGATGAGCTCAGCATTCCGTTCTTAACCAATCAGACCCTCTTCATAGCAATTGCATCCACTCGTTCCACAGCGACGTCAATCGTCAACGCCATTTTCGATCTCATCGCCTTCTCGCAATACCAACAGCCACTTCGTCAGGAGATAGAAGAGGTCCTGACCGAATCTCGCGGCTGGAATCTGTCTGCCCTTAAAAGGATGAAGAGACTCGATAGCTTTATCAAAGAATCCCAGAGGCTGAACCATCATATCCTTCGTAAGTTGTCCAATACCTCTTTCTGCTTGGCACACACACACACAGCTGACCAACATTAGTCTCATTCAATCGCAAAGTGCGACGTAAAATTACTCTTTCGGATGGCGTCACAATCCCCCCAGGCACATTCATCTGTACTCCCGGGTACTGGGCCGCCCGAGACCCCGAAATCTTCGCGGATGGAGAGGATTTCAAGCCCTGGCGGTGGCTCGAATTGCGAGAAGCGGCCGAACGAGAAGGCAAGAGTGTCACTCCGTACCTGGCCAGCAGCACAAGCCCGGACAATCTTCATTGGGGGTATGGCCGAAACGCGTGTCCGGGGCGCTTCATGGCGGCCGCGGAGATCAAGCTGATTCTCGCCTGGATCTTGTGGCATTTTGATATTTCGTTCCCCCCGGGCCAGAGCGAAAGGCCGGAAAGCCTGTTCGTGGACGAGCGAGTCATTCCGTGTCCCACACAAGAGATTGGCTTTCGACGACGCAGGACGTGAAAGTCGTGAAACATCTCCAAGCCGAACGCGATTTAATCGTACTCGCTGTGCTTCTGTGGAATAGTCACACTAACCCATTAGGTTGGCCCAAAAAAATGCATTAATTTAACATTATTAAGACTCCACAAATATAGCTTCTTTGGTAAATAATAATTACTATAGATTATAACGTAATTCCCGGCTGACCCGATCACTTTCCCGCTGCCGCAAATTCTATACACAATTTGAACAGCTTCAACGCGTCACTATGCCACCAAAAGCGCGTACAAATTCAAGAAATTTAGTTGAGCAAGAAGACAGAATCTTAATGGCTCTTTCTGATATCAAAAAACGCGAAAATCCAATATCTATTTGAAAGGCATTGCGTCTATATGATATTCCTTTTACTACTTTATAAAACAAACTACATAGTGTCACGATGAGGGCTGAGAAACAATATCATTAACATAAATTAACACAAACTGAAGAGGATACACTTGTACAGTAGATTCTATCAATAGATCAAAGAGGCGCATCTCCTTGGCCAGCCTCTATATAAGAGATGGCTAAGATTTTGGTTTTTGAACACCTAGGACTAGATACCCAAGTCTCTATAGGGAAGAATTAGGTTTCTACCTTTATTAATTAATATGATAAGCTAAAAACGCAATATTCCTGCTAGTATAATTATTAACATGCTAAATATGAGGATCTAAAGCTTATTGGCAAGTAGTTTGAACATATATGAAGCACAATTTAATAATATAGCATCCTCAAAGAGGATATTTATAATTTTGATGAGACCAGCTTTGCTATGGGCCTAATTGCTACAGCCAAAGTAGTAACCTAGGCAGAAATAGCAGGTTATCTAGTCCTCATATAGCCTAGGAATTGCAAATAGGTATTAGTCATTAAAGCAGTCAATTCAACTAGCTGGGCCTTACTACTATATATTGTCTTTAAAGCTAAGACTTATTAACAGGCTTAGTATAAGGCAAATCCTTTGCTAATTAATTAGAGAATCAAGATTAGTCCTAACAGCTAGACTACTGATAAGATTGGCTTATTATGGCTTCAAAATCTCTTTATACTATATACAAATCCTCATACAAAGGGCACTTATTGGCTACTAGTCCTTAATGGGCATAGTAGCTATCTTACACCTTAATTTAATTGTCTTTGTGGCCAGAATAAGGTTATATTAATTTGTATGCTACTGCATTTATCTCATCTTCTTTAACCTCTTAATGTTGGTTGTTTTTTGGTTTTGGAGCACTTATATAGACAAATTATTAAGGAGAACATGCAGCTTGGAATCAACCATATTAACAAGCTCAATTTCCTTATAGCATGTGACGATTCAACTTGCCTGTCGTCACGTGAGCGGTGAGAAAAGCGGTGAGGTATAGGTACGGCAGAATACTTGCATAAATCGCCTCGCTAGCGACCTGGCTCCCTTCCTTCTTCTCCTCTCCTCCCAGCCTAGTCTCTTGTAATTTAGATCGCTCCTAGTGATAAGAAACTGCTCTATTGCCTGGAATTGGATCCGTCACATTAGACTAGGCTCAACCCACTCATTTCTTACCATTTCTACTGCTTCTAGATACGGTCTGACGCGTCT